TTCTAACTTTTTTCTCCTTGCTACCTTCGATCTTTTTCTCCTTGGAACCTTCTACTGTTTTTTCTTTGGATCCTTTCAATCTCTCTTTGGATTCTTCTAAATTCTGACTGTGTTTAGAGCTCCCCTTCTTTTGGCCTTCTCCATCAGTGTTTTGAGTGGCAGCAAGTGACTTCTGCAATATTTCTCTTTAAGGTGATTGTATTGTTTTCAGGAAGATGTAGACCCTTGAACACACGCCTATCTGGAGCAAGCAAAAGCAGTTCAGCAATAAGGGCAGGAGACAAAAAAATACACTTTGTCTGCGGAAGGTACCCTTCAAAGTTTTCTCACATGAAGTGGTGGGGTTAACGGGTGCTCTGAAAAATAAGCTATGGACTTCCACCTTTATAGCAGCAGTCTCTAGGAACCTGCATGCTGGTGACTCAACTGTGGACATCGTCCTGCTGCATGTTGGCTCAATTACTGTAAGTCATCTTGAATTCAACGACGACAACGGACGGTTTCCCCTTGTCGTGACAGTTGGGGCTAAGCTCGAGTATTTGTTCAGGCTCAAAAAGGAGCTCCTTAAGTTTTCTTCTTGTCATGAGTCTTGCTACGCTGCGCTAACTAGGCTTTCGTGATGTGCACCTCATGCGAAGTGTCTTTTTCTGCTCCCTCCCCCTGTATGAGCAAATATTATGCTGAACGTCGAGTGGGCCTCAGACACCTACATCACCAAAGTAAAAACTGGAGAGTTCCCTCCTCCTAAAGTGCCCTATTGTGCTGTGAGTCATTAGTTTCAAGTTCAATGTTCTACTGCTGATAAGCGGGAAATGAGCCATCATGCGTTGATTCAAGGACTGATTCCCCATTTAGGACGCGCCATGAACTGAACACTTCAAAGAATTCGCGCCTAGCTTCAGGTAAAAGGCACACACCGCTTGCAAAAAGGTGATTTGTGCTACTGAATATAAATGAACGATTGTGCATAATACAGTTGAAGAAAAGAAATTAGCATTATCGCACGGTCGCAAAGCGTGAAGGCAACAATTGGGTCCCTCTCTAAACTTGTTACTGTTGACGACACGACATTAGTAACACCGTCTTTAGCACACAGGTAACATAAGACTTGCCAATGAGCAGCACTGACGCTTGGAATCCGTAGTCTCCTTACTGTTCTACTGATTATCTTATCATCTAGATTACTGAAGAAAAAGGGATATAGCAATGACTATCACGGAAAATTACCTCTTCAACTGAAACTGTAGTAGTGCGATCTTTCTCTTTCGTCTTTGGCTCTCCCTTTCCTTTCACCTTCTTCTTTTCTACTTTCTCTGAAGAGATAAGATGGGTTACAACGAGTGAAGTGTGAGAATATTCTCTAACCTCGAGAAGTTTTCGACGGCCCTTTTTTGGTGCCTTTTCTCTTCTGCAAAGGAAGGCAATGATAGTAGCGTATAACACACGACATGAGCAAACTGTAGTCATTCTCCTTATGGTTAGATTGCTGTGTTAAGAACCAAACAACTGACTCCAGCAGCTACTCTCTTCTCGATCGCTTAGTGGCCTTTCGACTGATATGGTAGTTTAGGTACTTCTCATAATTTCTACACGAAGCCGGCATTCCTGTCACCTTAGCTACCCCTCTACTAAAAGTTGTGCGTTGAAGATCAAGCGCACACTCTCCTCCACCGAACCTCCTAGCTTGCCACTTACGTTAGAGGGTAATGACACCCAATTGCCGTCTTCATACTCCTCCCGCTCTATCGCACACCCAACCAAACGCCTAACCACGGCTTAACGCGCTACTTGCCTGCGCCCTCTCACTTCTAGCCGTTCTCTACCGCTGAGCGCCTGCTTGTGTTGACGCAAGTGCTGCACATTCGGGACAGCGTGGGCGGAGTATGAAGACGCCACAAGGGTATCGCACCTCCTGGCCCCATTCTCGTGCACTTTTAAGCAGAGCTAAAATTTTAGCTGCCGAGCTTCTGTGGTTGTCGGTCTACTCAGCTAGCACATGGGAAGACCCCTCCTTGGGAGTGAGTTACAGTCTGTCCTCAATCTTGGGAACGCTGACCTTGCACCTCAAGTTTCAGAGGCCAGTGGCTCAATAAGCTCGTACAAATCACTCCTTCCCCTGTACGCTAAAAACAAACTCATCGGACACAATTAACAAACTTCGAAAGCTCCCACAAACGTGCAATTGCAATTAAGAACTGGTAAATGTCCGCAATAAATGAGCGTGGGAAGAATGGTAAGTTATCTGCATTGTTAACAATTTGTGGATGCTTACAGAAATAAAGATAGGGGGTAAAACCTCCGCCGTTGATAAATCCCTTTGTGAGATGCGGCACAGAAACAGTGAAAAAGCACTTGAATACCGGAAGAAAGAACATAAAGGGAAGCTGGGGTCTGGTACATTGGAGCGCGCTTGTAATTGTAGCGTGTTCAATTACAAGCGACAGCGACAGTTAAGCGCGACGATCAACGCGCGCTCAAGCGCGACAAGTCTGAACGCTGCTCAACACACTTACTGCTAGATCGACTCTATATGCCGACACAGCACCCCACTGCTCCGTGCCGCCTTGTTATCAAATGGTGAGCCTTCTTCTTTCATAGCCTTCTGCAGTTTTGATCCATACAAAAGATAGGGCGTATGGAGAGGAGGGGAGCTTGATCTCACCAGGAAAGGTCAACAGGTCAGCCCGGCCATTATGCAATGAGATGCACATCGTTGTACTCGCCTTGAGACGGTGAACTCAAAACTATCTTCAAAATTTGCGGAACGATTCTCTGAGCGGAGTTATGGAGGTTTTTCTTATTGTGCACCTGTAGCGCGACTCACAGCGCTCTTCGCGCAGAATAGCTATCATATTCGTGTTCAGGGGGTCAAATAACCCCCAGAGACGTCACCTTAGCGAAATCTGAGGTTTTGACTCAACTTCGAAAAATGAGGTATGGGGGTCATGGCTAACTGACAGCTAACAGCGATACTATGACTAGCATACTGATGATGACTGGTCTTCGAGCTGAAATAACTCTTCAGTCATGTCTTTTCGCAAACAACAGTACCTGGCTTACTTATTCGTGCCGTCTGCATCATTTTCTTGACTATCGGGAGGAAATCCCATTCCGAGACCAGTCATCGATGGTAGGTGAGCTCCAAACTGCTGCTAATTACCCATGGAATAACTCACATTTTCCAAGTTAGGTCGAAATATCAGATTCGGCTAGAAACTTGTCCCCAGGGGTAATTTAACCCGCTGAACGTGAATATGATGGTATTTCATTGCAAAAACCCTTGTGACATGTGCTACGGGGGGACAAGCACGAGCACTCTTTCAGGCCATAATGGGTCTACACTTTCGAAAAAAACTGGTCGCAGTTTCCTTACAGGATAGTGCAGGCAAGCAGAGATGTTAGAAGCTTTGTCGGCCATGTTCTTGGACAAAAGCAAAAAGGGCACCCTTCCGAGAACCGATCCTATGACGTCTCGCCTAGTGACCCGCTCGCTATCCGTTGCGCTCCACTGTCACTTGTCATTTTGACTTACATCCTTGTATATAAAGACGCTTCCACGTTTCCTCGCGATAGCATGTGAAACAACCACGCGGGGACAAAACCCTCCATAACTTCGTTCAGAGAGTCGTTCCGCAAAATCTGAAGGTAGATTTGAGTTCATTGTCCCAAGACGCGTAGAACGGTGTGCACCTCATTGGAAATGGCCGGGCTGACCTGTTGACCTTTCCTGGTCAGTCTGAAAACCCCTTTCCGGCAGCTGTTGCAGACTCGGATTGGCATCATTGATGGAACGGCCGCCATTGCAGCATTCCGATTCACGCCCGTCACATAAACAAACAACCAGCGCCCCACCCGTTTGCATGAACAGGGGTCATAGCTGTACGTCACCGTTTCCACATCCACTTTGGATGGAATGTGTTCAGAGAACGTCGTACGTTGATCCCCGGCGAAGTAGTCGTGTTTGGTCGCTGGAGTGGGAAGGTCGCATTTGCCTCTGAGAAAATACTTTCGTTGTTGAGTTCCTTCAGTTTTTCTTTTGTTTCAAGTGCGCTATACACGCCCTCTCCCCCGTCTCTTCGCCGGCACTTTTTTTCCTGGGAGGGGGGGGGAGAGTTGGGAGATTTTCCGTTAAATCGAGGGGGGAGCGGAGAAAATTCTTCCCAAGGACGTGCTCTCATTGTACTTGCAGACGCGCATTTAATATAAACCAATACACTGGGCTTCTAAGGCACGCCAATGTTTAGAAGCTGTTCGCGATTCCTTGAGAAAGTTTTGATTATTCGAAATTTCTTCGCATTTGTAAAGCACTTGACCCAAGAATACCATGTTCTACGCCTACCAATGCTCTCATAGCGACCATATAAGAAGACAAAAATGTTTACTGTAGTCTCGCAATCAAAACCTAAACAACCAGACGACGTACGTGGCCTTCCTTGTGCTTTGACTTCGACTTGTCTCTGCTGAAAACAGTATTACCTAGTATCCATAGATCCTTGAATCGAAATTATTAAAATATTCAGTGGAGTACGGATTATCCGATCGCCGAGTCGACGCTTCGGGGGACTCAGAGGAAATATGTACACATTGTTAGGGTTCTGTCCGAGAAGAGAAGTGGAGAATTTGCAAAAACTCTATATAGGGTACGCTCGCAAGTGGATAGCAATTTCTTAGACTTTCCAGAGCTTCAAGATGGTCAGAGGCCGCTTTGCATGTCTCTTCTCCGATAAGGTGAAAGAAAACTATGAAGGTATCCCTAACAAAGAAATCGTTTCGAATCCAAATGGAACTTCGAATGGAGACCTAGGTACATCGATAGAGTCTCGGATGCTGATTACGAATATGCAGATTAAAAGTGCTACGGGGACCTCCCAGACGAGTTCTGGGCGGTCAAAGTTTGCGAAAACTCAGTTTTGGCTCGTAAGCGCTGCTGATCGATCGCTAGGCAGTGCCACCGTGGCCTAGTGGTAACGGTCTCGCTTCAAAGGTAGGTGCTTTATGGTTTGCATCCCGTTGGCGCGAAAGTTTTTGCTTCGTCTCCTATAAGAGCTTTTACTCTAATTTTCGAAATTCTTCCGAGTTTACGGCCCAGCAGAGCAAGTAGATCAAGTATATGACGTACTCGATCGAGTATGGATTTGGTCACTATCTGCCCTCTCTGAACTCATTACCCATCCGACAATTCGAAGTTTTAGCCAGAAACTCGTTCCTGGAGCTATTTGACTCCTGAACATGAATATCACATTCTATGGGAAAACGCTTGCTTTCACGTTGTTGTGATCATCAGCTGAACCAGGGTCGTTTTCGCGTCAAACGGATGTGATATTCGGGCTCAGGGGGTCAAAATACCCCCAGGAACGAGTTTCTGGCCAAATTGTGATTCTGGCCAAAACTTCGAATTGTCGAATGGTTAATGAGTTCAGAGAGGGCAGATAGTGACCAAATCCATACTCGATCGAGTACGTCATATACTTGATCTACTTGATCTACTTGCTCTGCTGGGTCGTAAACTCGGAAGAATTTCGAAAATTAGAGTAAAAGCTCTTATAGGAGACGAAGCAAAAACTTTCGCGCCAACGGGATGCAAACCCACAAGCATTTGCCTTTGAAGCGAGACCGTTACCACTAGGCCACGGTGGCACTGCCTAGCAATCGATCAGCAGCGCTTACGAGCCAAAACTGAGTTTTCGCAAACTTTGACCGCCCAGAACTCGTCTGGGAGGTCCCCGTAGCACTTTTAATCTGCATATTCGTAATCAGCATCGAGACTCTATCGATGTACCTAGGTCTCCATTCAAAGTTCCATGGGAAGTTGAAACCATTCCCTTGTAAGGGGGAATAGCGCCTCAATCAGTACTGCTACACGCGGCACTCCATATCACAACGATGCGACAGAAAGGTCGCACCTCATTCAATCAGCCAGGCTTTTCTCTTCCAAAGTGAGATGTGTCGTTACAGAAGCTGGTGGCAACTTAACAAGTCTTTTATACCTCGTGCTTGCACACAGATGCTTTTAGATGAGTTATGGAAGCTGTATGTATGGTGTGTCCAACAGGCACAAATCAGCGCCAATCAGCCAACAACGTATTACCGTGCATAGCCGTGGCCAGACGAAATAAAAGCGGTATTATTTCGTAACGTATCATTTGGTTCTCACCATTTCCCGCTACGTCTACGTGAAGTCACCAAAATATCCCGCTCCGCCCTTTCCCTAAATAGATAGAGACTCGAAGCACTGTAAGCTATGAACAGTCGGATAGCCTTGTGGATACCCTGTTAGGGCCCCGTTGGAACCATTATGGGAAAATTAAGGGCCTGGTTTCTTTCATCGAGTTTTACTTTCTCTCCGGTTTATTTTCCCTTTTTTCTGATGTTTAGTAGTAGAGAAATAACTTTCACACACGCCATTAAAAATGCCTTTTGTACGCTAAGCCCATGGTTTGGGACCTTTCG